TCGATTTCTTGGGATGGATTTGTATATATTGAGCTAAAATTACACCTATTCTAGAAAACTCGAAGTTGGTGTGTGAGTAAGATAGTGTGAAGAGTTATTGTAATTACATGTTACTATCTAATATTACGCTCTACCGCTCTATCTACGGAAATTAACTAACAAGAAGCTTAACACTACAGGTTTTATATTACTTCTACTGTAGTCGAGCAACTAGGGTGTATGCTATTGGAAGGCCAAAATAGTATTTAGACGAGGATATAATATAGGACTATAAGGGGGAGAAAAGAGAGAACAACGATAGAACATAACAAAGCCTATGTGATAGATTTCCTTTTCTTCTTTATCTTTCTTCTTCTATACAATAGACAAATATAAAATCGTTAGCTAGGCCTCTCTGTCTATAACAAAGAGCTAACAAACTAACTCTAAAATCCTAAAAAAGGGACTTAACTGGTTTGTTAACGATTCTTTAATTTGCAGCAAATTTCAATAAATAGACTCGGTCTGTTCGTCTTATAATGTCAGAGTTCAGATTGATCTTGATTGATAGCGTGACGACTCTGTATTCGATTTGATTGATTTGGACGAATAAATCAACAGAATCAACAGCTTGACTGTTAGCAACTCTGATAGCGGGGCTCCTTTGAATTTTTAATCCATGTATCCATCGTAGCTACAGTTTGTAGTAAGCAACAAAATGTCGAAATTGTAATAGACTAACAAGGACAAGATGATTGTGTCTTGGTAATGGGTTGTATCCTGTTACAAGACGTGTGGCCGGTCTCCTGAGATTAATCTACTGATGTATCGCGTGACAGGAGACCCTTGTGGTCAGTCTCAAAGTCGTACCTGAACCTTTCTATCTTCGTTTTTACGAACCAGAAATCCCGAGTCCTCCCATCCCTGCAGCGCGCTTTGGCATTTATCCCACCAAGACTTTATGCCTCCGAACCAGACTAGTGGCTCATGCTTCTTGCCCGGAATGTTTGCTCCCACCCACCATGAATTAGTCTCTGCCGACAATGAATTCTCGTAACAGATCCCAATAAGGGTTTTCCAAATAGATGCAGCCTCCTCAGACGCTTCAATTAACTCAACTTTGTCATTGCGAATCCTTTCGAAAAGTTGTGCCAGCCAGTTCACCTGCAACTCGATGAAAGGCGGTCCATTGGCAAGCGAGCTTGGTGCCTGTGGCGCATACAGGAAGAATGCGTTTGGGAAACCAGGTACTGACATTCCCAGATGCGTACGGATTCCATTCTTCCACGTGTCTTGAAGTTTGACGCCTTCCTTATTATGAATGTTCATCTTGAAAAGACTACCCGTAAGGTTGTCATAGCCTGTTGCTACTACTATCACGTCTAACTTCCAGAGCTTACTAGCATCATCGTCTTCCGTGACAATGCCCTCCTCTGTGAATTTTTGAATAGGTGATTTCTTAAGGTCAATCAATGTTACGTTGGGTCGGTCCACTGATTCGTAGTAATCTTGCTCTAGGCTAGGTCGTTTTGCACCCATCCAATATGGCTGTTTTGTTGGGGCTAGGATATCTCTTTTGACAGGATCTCTTATCCTTTCCCTTATCTTCTGCACCCAAAAGTTGTATGCACTGGCATTTGAGGCCTTGTTTGTTAACAGATCCGGATAATTGGATACGAGGAAGCCAAAACCCCCTCGCTTCCAAAGCCGTTCATAAAGGCGTTGCCGTTCTGCTTCAGTTTCATCTCGCCAGCAACGTGTATGATGGTTGAAAGGGTACCCGTCTTCTGTATTGTACTTTGCGCAGTCAAGAATAGCGTCATAATAGCCTTTCTGATAATCGGAGTCGCTAGTAGATATAGCTCTCTGATTCATGGGAAAGCACATCGAAGGGGTACGAATGAACACTGAAAGTTCGCAGTTTTCCTTGGCCAGTTCTTGTACAATTTGAATTCCAGACGCTCCTTGTCCAATAACACCAATCCTTTTGCCGTCCGTTTCGAAGTTCTCTGGCCAAGAGGCAGGATGGATGATCTGCCCTTTGAAATTGGACTTTCCTGGCCAGTCTGGGATATATGGTTCACAAGAGGATCCAACCGCAAAGATTGCGTAAGTAGATGTAGCCGTTAATCCATGTGCTTTAAAGCTCCACGTCCTCTTCTCCTGATTGTATTTAACTTCCTGAACCCTTGTGTTAAAGTAGGTGTCTTTTTGAAGATCAAGCACCTTGTCCATGTGGTCAAAGTATCTTCTGAGTTCATGGTGGTCAGGATACAGCTCAGAGAAGTTGAAATCTTCCCAAACTTCTGGCAGGGACAATTGGTATGTAGGTGTTTGACTATCAACTCGAGCTCCTGGATAGCGATTCATTCTCCAGACCCCTCCGAAACCTGTAGAAGCCTCGAGGATTTTCACCGTGTATCCCATGAGTCGAAGTTTGAAGAGAGCATAACAACCACTGAATCCACCTCCAACAATGATGATGTCAGCACTGACATCGACTACCGTCTCGTTAGAAGGCTGCGCAGACATGTTGTGGAATGATAGTTTCTGATGTCAGTTTAGAAAAACAGTGTAATTTGATATAATTCACGACTTTGTGGAAGCTTAATCATATATAGTCATTCGCAAATTTTAATGATTGAGCTGAAAAAAGCGCACCGGCATAACCTTGAATGTTCTAGGGTACATGAACGGCTGCCAAGCCGGATCATATTCTAGTATGTATCCGTCCCGGGCCTTTTCCTGCCCCATTGTTTTAAACCTTGGCAGTCGGTCTCGGATTGTAGAGTTTCCGCTCGCCTAATTTGACGCCCCATACTAGCTGGCCTAGTAGCGCTCCGGAGACTCCACACTCCTGGATTACCCCGCCCCCTACTATCTGCTCCCAGGCCCGTTTACTGTTGCTTCTCTCCTCCTTCAGAAACAACTACTGTGTGTTTTATGTAGCTAGTAATTAATAGAATCTAAATATCTAGAGGTGGAACCTGGTGTAATAGTCAAAGTTGACAAACGACGACGATACCTGTCTGAGAAAAGACCTTTGACTCGTGCATTTCTGTAACTTATGGCTGTCAAACAATAGAACGCGAATGCAGCCCCTGGCATAAGTTATTGGCAGTCGTCCTTTAGGGAATACGGGCAGTTCTAGCATAACCTATAAATACTCGGCAGGAACCCATACATAGTTCCTTCACTGCTCATCTTATTTGATCAATAGGAACCTACCTTCTCGAAAGGATCATCAAGATACATTTCTTTCCCTTTTTCCAAGACTTCTTGTTAGGTCTCCTTAGAGCGTACATAAAACTCGAACTAAACATGGGTCTCGACATAGATGGCGATTTTATTACCGCTGCGGCTCCGTTACTGAGCGCAATGGCCGGATTTCAAAAGCCAAAATTACATGACATCGAAGGTCGTAGAAAGATGCTCTCTAATGCAAGTATGTCGTCGAATCAAAAGGAAATTGAAGGTGTGAAGTTGGAAAAGCATTCTATTTCAGCCTCGGATGGTCATCAGCTTTGGATATACCATTATAAGAGAGAAGACACTATGAACCAACTTTCTCCTCAACCAGCAATCGTCCATCTCCACGGAGGCGGCCTCATCGCATTGAGTGCAGCTGATTTGGTCCCTACAATGTCCGAATATGTCCTCGCCACTGGGGTACAAGTGTTCTCTATCGACTACCGGCTTGCGCCAGAACACCCGTATCCGACTCCTCTAGAAGATTGTTGGTCTGGCTTGAAATGGGTTTTCTCAAAGGCATCCGACTTTCGCCTCGACAATACCTCCATCGCCGTCATGGGTGAAAGTGCTGGTGGAAATCTTGCAGCTGCACTTGCGCTGTTAGCTCGTGATCGAGAATTATCTCCACCAATAGCAAAGCAGATCTTAATTTACCCTATGCTCGATGACCGAAATTCGTCCAAAGCTATCGGGCCAGTATGTATGTGGGATGAAGTCGACAACGTCACGGGCTGGACAGCATATCTAGGTCACGAACCTGGGCGGCTAGGAGTGCCAATGTTTGCAGCACCTGCTCGTGTGGAGAGTGTTGAAGGTTTACCCCCCCTATATCTAGATGTCGGTCAGCTCGATCTGTACATGCTTGAGAATCTCGAATACGCTGGAAGATTTGTCTACGCTGGTATCGAAACTGAGCTGCATATCTATCCAGGTTTACCACACGCATTTGAAGCGCTTGCGCCTAGTCACTACATAACAAAAATGGCAAAGGAGAACAGGTATAGGGCCATTCGCCAACTCAAACGCGATTCCATGTGAACAGCAGGCCTGTTGCATGCTGAATTGGAGATCTTTATGTAGTTCTATCATAAAACCTACATGAAACTTCGTTCCGATGTTACATACGCTATCGTATTTGCCTGAGCTGTACCTCAAACTCTCTTCACTGTTCGTGGTCAATGCCCTGATTTCCACGGTTAGGGGTCAGCTAAATAGTGTATAAGCATGCAGGACTATACTGTAGTCAGGCTAACATTACATGTCAACTATAAGACGAATTAGTGAAGCGATGAAGGTAGTGAAATTATAAAAGCTCTCTTATAAGCACAGGAAATCCTATAATTACTATAACAAGCAAACCCGTGAGCCTTTCAATACAGCAGCAGGCTCTCTTCTTTTTATGCTATTTAGCAAGGCTGACTCCAGACGAGTATATAAAATCAAAGTCGTTTGCATTTCGTTTGATACTCTAAGTTCATCTAGATAGGTAAAGACATTAGTTCGCATTGTGTTCCCTAAATTCGGTCACTTTCTATCCTAGAGAGTTCCTTTATTTCTTGGATGGTTTGACTACGAATAAAAGACAGATTAAATTCATCTCAAGATCACTGGCGTAATTTGTCTAAACAACATGGACTATTTCTTACTGTGACCTTGTCCTGATCTCTCGACTTTAGCATATTCTTCCTTTGTTAGTGTGACTCTACATATTAATAAAGCTTGATTTCACTTGTATATCATTAAATAGATGCTTAATAAAATCTATTTAGGTTCTACAAGAACTTTCAACAAGGTTTCTCTATTTGCGATAAGAGCTTCGAGTCCTTCCCGGACGAACTGATCTAGTTGAATACGACTGCTGACCATCTTCTCCACCCCCTTAAACTTGCCTAAGTTTCGTAAGCCAGTGTTTCTACATCAGAGAATTCACATACCTTCGTTGAAATCATTCACAACTTCTTCAAAATCAACATCATTATAAGCGACTGAGGCGACGACTGAAATCTCCCTAGAATACCATTCTGCCATTGGTAAAGCAATCTTGTATGATAATTAATGCATGATAAACACAACCGTAGAGCATCTTTGGACGTACCTGCTGTGACGGACTTGCTACTAGGACGTATTTTCCCTTCTTGCGCAAAGACGACATCGCCGAGGCCATAGCAGGAATGTATCCTGCGCAGTCAAACACAATATCCACACCAATACCACTGGTCAACTGGCTAATAGAGTCGAAGAGACTCGCTTCGTTAGGGTTGATTCCAGCGTCAATGATCTCTTTAGCGTACTCCAGTCTTAACGAAGAAGGCTCTGATACAAAGATACGACCCTTTCCGACGGCTTTGAGATTGTGAATAATTGCAAGTCCGATGGGTCCGGCGCCAAGGATTAGCACCGTCTTCTCTCGAAAGTCGGTAAATGTGGATACTTTTAGGGCATGTCTCGCAACTGCTAGAGGCTCAATTAGACATGCTGTTTCTAGGCTTGAGTCGGCAATTGAGTAGCATCGTCTAGGATCGACAGCGACGAATTCCGAGAAACCACCCCCACCGCCTCCACATAAGCCGACGAAACCCAATTTGTCGCAAAGGTTTGTATCTCCTTGTTTACACAGAGAGCAGGCAGAACAGTAGAGGCGAGGATCAACCATAACAGCTTGTCCAACTTTTAGGGAGCAGTTTTCAGGTACTTCGACTATACGACCACAGAGCTCATGACCTAGCGTCACTGGGAGAGTATCCCCAGTCGCACAATGGCGTTCTCCTGGAGCTGGTGTACCCATTGGACCTTATCTGTTAGAAGTGTGCAACGAATCCAGATACTAGCTTACCAGTGTTGTAATTTGTCAAATCAGTTCCACATATACCGCACCACACAACCCGTAATAGTACACAGTTGGCCGGGCGCTTTGGAATAGCAATCTCCTCAATCCGCACATCTTTGACGCCGTAGTATCTCGCAGCCTTCATTTTTTTTCTTTCTAGCTGTGTTGCGGGGTGTAGCAAGTGAGTAGACAGGGCAGTTGAGATATCCTGGAAAAATTCTCGGTGAATTAGCAGAGTTTCACAGAAATACTATTTGGCGGGAGTGTTTGATTGGTTTGCATGCTATATGATCGTATGAAACAACGCGCTACCTTGGTAATATAAATACACCATCTCCTAAGAGAGGTGGTTTCCTACCCCGAAAAGGTTAGAAATGCTAAGAACGGGTTTGGAGGCGGGTCTCTCATTGTGGAACGATCGTCGTTCCGCCCGATAATCGTCCCCACCGGATGTTGTGCACATCCGTGTGCCCGCCGGATGCCGTACACATCCGTGTTACATACGGCTATCAAAGGATAGTACCGGATCTTGTTTAACTCCCAAACTGGAAATCAAAGTGCATGATCTCCCGTAAAATCGATCATCCAATAAGCAAACTACTCTAACCGGTCGGATTCCAACACCTGATCGCGTTGTCGATAAACTCGACAGAGAGTTCACATGTAGGACCCACGCATCACCCCAACATGGAAATTTGTTGGTTTGGCTCACGGATGTTGCTTGCCCGACGGATGTTGCTTGCCCGGGATGCCGATTGGCTTCCCTACGACATGGACTAGGCACGTGACCGGTGCCATGGCAAGTAAGTACGCGTGTTTGTTTATGGTTAGCGCAGAAAATGAGAAATAAGATGTATTATTATTATTATTATTATTATTATT